GCTGAGTCAGTTCATAATTATCGATAACACAAAACAGTTCTTTAGCCCCTCTGTCCTGAGGGTTGTCAACATGGATATTAAAATCACCAACAATGACTAGGCGGTCAAAGTCAATACACACTATAGACAGCAAAACTAGGACCACCAGGGTGGGTGGAGGGGGGTCAGGAGGACGGGCCTGGGCTGACAGCCCAGGAACACAGCGGAGGGCCCGGAAGGGATCTCGGGCGGACGGCCCGGGGGCAAGGCAGAGACCATGGTGGGTTGGCAGGACCCCCGGCAGAAGAGTAGTCGGCGGAACCCCCAACGGGACAGGACACAGGGTTGGCAGGACCCCCGGCAGATGAGTAGTCGGCGGGACCCCCAACGGGACAGGACATAGAGTTAGCAGGACCCCCGGCAGAAGAGTAGTCGGCGGGGCCTCCAACGGGAAAGGACATGGAGTTGGCAGGACCTCCAATGGAACCTCCAACGGACCAGGACATTGGGCAGGAACTCGAGAGGGGACTTGAGAGTTGACTTGAGAGGGGACTCGAGAAGGGACTCGAGAGGGGACTAGAGTAGGGACTGGAGAAGGGACTTGAGATGGGACTAGAGAGGGGACTAGAGAAGGGACTGGAGAAGGGACTTAGATGGGACTAGAGAGGGGACTAGAGAAGGGACTAGAGAAAGTACTGGAGAGGGAACTAGAGGAGGGACTGGAGAGGGAACTAGAGGAGGGACTGGGGAAGGGACTAGAGAAGGGACTTGGGAAGGGACTAGAGAAGGGACTAGAGGAGGGACTAGAGGAGGGACTAGAGGAGGGACTATGGCTGCTGGGGCCGGAACCAGGGCCGGAACCATGGCTGCTGGGGCCAGGACTGAGGCTGGAACCATGGCTGCGGCTGGAACCATGGCTGCTGGGGCCAAAACTGGGGCCGGAACCATGGCTGCTGGGGCCGGAACCATGGCTGCTGGGGCCAGAACTGGGGCCGGATCCGTGGCTGCTGGGGCCAGAACTGGGGCCGGAACCATGGCTGCTGAGGCCAGGACTGAGGCTGGAACCTTGGCTGCTGGGGCCAGAACTGAGGCCGGAGCCATGACTCTTGGGGCTCCGGCTGCTAGTCTTACGACTCCTTCTCTTAGGAGCCTTTTGGAGGCTCTGGACTTCCAAAAGCCAGACGAGTTCCAGAGAACGGCTCCTGGACAGGAGCAGGAACTGGGGAAGAAGCAGAGGTTGACTCCAGACGGAACGCGCCGAGACGTATGGTGTCAGGTTGGGAATTGGGAGGCAGGGGGCTAGCATGCCTGGGGCTAGCAGGCCGGGAAACACATGTCGGGAGGATATCCATCATCCAGCCAGGTAAGAACTTCACAAGACATGGTTTCTCTATTGCTATCTGGTGCGCCTCTGCCTGAGCAGCCTCTTTCTGCTCAACACTGGACGCTCCCCTCCACCTACCATAGCAGAAAGCCAAATAATAGGTACATTTATGTAGTTCCACCTCAAATGGATCATCTGCTAGGTCCATATTGCAACCTGCTGGGGTGGATTCCATCAGTGACGAAGAGGCCGGGTCGGTCCCAGAATAGATACAAATTGTCAATAAAACCTAAATTGTGAGCTCTGCAGGCAGAGGCTGAGGATCCTACTGAAACGCCCTGCTCCGCGGGCCAGNCAGCTGTGCTGTTGTGTTGGTCTAAACAAGTTTCAGTTAAAAACATAAAAGCAGGTAAATCATTTTTAATCAATGATTTTATCCCCAAGCACAATCTGGATTTTATGTTTTTAACTGAAACTTGTTTAGACCAACACAACAGCACAGCTGTTCTGATACAATCAGCCCCTCCTAACTTTAGTTGTATGAGTCAGGCAAGACTGCATAATAAGGGGGTGGAGTAGCTATTTTGTTTAATGATTTATTTCAATGCAAGCAGACTATGTATGGAAACTTTGCTTCTTTTGAATATGTGGCCCTTCAGTTGAAATGCTCCTCTTGAGCTCTTTTCCTAAACATCTACAGACCACCCAAATACTGTGCAAGCTTTTTTGATGATTTTACCGAGTTACTGTCTATAGTGCGTATTGACTTTGACCGTCTAGTCATTGTTGGTGATTTTAATATCCATGTTGACAATCCCCAGGACAGAGGGGCTAAAGAACTGTTTTGTGTTATCGATAATTATGAACTGACTCAGCATGTGAAGGGTCCGACACACAATAAGGGGCACACCCTGGACTTAATTGTATCAAAGGGTCTGAACATCTGACTGATGTTGCGCTCTCCGACCATTCCTGTGTTTTCTTTGAGAGCTCTATTCCCGTCCAAACAGCTGTTAAGAAAGAGGTAACCACGAGACGTCACTTAACTGAAACGCGGTACTGCGACTCTTGTCAGGGATCTGAATTATTTCAAAGAGAGCGCCAGTAGAAAACTGCAACTGTCGTACTTGTTTGTATCGGTGCATTTGTGTTCACATCAATGTTTCATTTGTTCAATAAAAGAGCATTTCCTTTCATTTATTTGAACATGTTTTGAATTTCAGCAGAAAACTATAAGCAGCAGAACTGAGTGGACTTTAACATAAGTTCATCTATCATAAGTCATTTTGTTTTCATACATCTTAAATCTAAATGCACAGCTTGATTGTTATTATTAGGGAAATCAATGATCCCCCACGTCTCTCTTTAGAGATGAAATAAATAGAAACATTCAATAACTTGGTCCATATGGATACCGACTGATATGATCTGCAGCTGGAGGGAATATGCAGCAAAGTGTGTTTTGTTCATGCTTTACAGAATAAATGTCGGGGGTGGAGACTAGAGGAGACTCCAGGTGTGTGTCCATGTCCCCGCTGACGCAGCTTCCTGTTAGAAGTTGGGTTTGTGCTTCTTCACCTCCACCATGAGGTGGTGCAGGTTGATGAGCTCCGAGCGGACGGCCAGGCTCCTGAAGCTGGGCTGGTTCAGGACCTTGTGGAAGCCGTGGTAGTACTGGATCAGCTGGGTCAGAGCGCCCTGCAACAGAGTCATGACTTTAATACCACTCACTTCCTCTCTTCTCTGTTAGTCTATTTCCTCTTCCTTTTCCTACTTCCCTTTGTGATAATGATCATACAAAGATATATATCATTTGAAATGCACAGAAAGTGAGACCTAACCCAAAAAAAGATCATTGACTAATGTAATTATTAGCTGTGAATGAAAAAAAAATGTATTCCATTGAATTCATGTTGGATAACACCATTGCATTGTGGGAATGCTAGGTTGCAGTGCTCAGGGGTTAAACATTTACAAAAAACAAGTCAAAGAGATTTTCATGTTTTGCCATTTGACTGAAAACAAAATCATGCTTTTAACATAAAAAAAGAAAACCACCTGACTGACACTTTACAGTTTTGAACTAACTAAAATACATTTTTCCAAATATTTACTTTTCATTAATCTGATAAATGTTAATAATAAAATAAAATACATTTATAAATAAGATTTCAGTGGCCCAGGGTACGTGCTCCTTCTCCCTGTGGTATGACTTGTTGGTTGGACTTAATGGGTGAGAAATGATATTTGTTGTAGCAATTTTAAAATGAAGATTTTTTGATAGATTCCCGAGTAAGGCTGCAACTAATTATCTGCCAGATTAAATTGTTCACAAATTGTCATAAAATAGAGATAAATGTTCAATGAGATGTCTATAATCAAGTTTGCTCAGTCCAAGACCCAAATGATTGATTTATAGAAGAAAGAAAAGCAAAACATCTCCATATTTGAAGGGCTATAAACCTAATTTAATGTTTTTGTTGATAGACTAAATGATTAGTCTAATAATTGATGCAGCTCCATTAACCATTACTGATTATAATCATCACTTTCAATCAATGAAACTTTATTTACACTTGGACAGAACACAGATCTACTGGTAATAAAGCTTACAGAATGAAAACAAAAGCATCAATACGTCAGGAAAACGTGAGTTACTCTGAGATAGGATTCAGTGAGGACACAGCAGCTCATCAGACATCAGACTTTCCTGTGTTTGATGAGTTTCAGATCTCAGAAGGATGAGATTATTCAATGTTTTAAAGGACCATCAGCCTCGTCCATGAATTGTAAAAGTGATAAAAATGTAACCTCTAAAAACATATTCATGTGGTGAATGTCGTCTCATCGTCTCTCATCGTTTCATGTCTTTATTTGTTTTCCTCCTTGCTTGTTCTCTGCATGTTTTCCGTACGAGTATTATGGAGGCTGCGTTGGATATACAAATAGAACACTCAGAGCAATGATGGGTGTTATTTTCAGGAGGCTTTCAGGAGGCCGTTCACATTGACAAGAGGTCAACATTATTACGTTTTTTTGTTGCTATTTCTTACCTGTTTTTAAATCAATTCAAACCCTAAAATGTATATATATGTATGCCATGATGTTTACATGGACTGC